TGGTTGGCTCCGTCTCTGTGATGGCGATAGCCTGGCCCTGCACCCTCCTGGTAACGGAAATAGTCCGAGGCAATTTAAGCGTCAGCCACCCAGAGTTGGGACCTTGCTGCGACCTGCACGCCAACCTGTTGATGGAGTGTCAAGATAGCTTGAATGGTAGAATTGATATGTGGCTAACATTTGGACTGCCTTAGACCGTTTCCGTATAGGGGAAGTTACAAAGTGATCTTGGGCCGGATTAGCTGAGGGCCGCCTAACTGATTGACCGTGGTGGTGTGGAGCTTGGTAAGTTAGGTGGTATTTGAGCAGTCAGTGAGAAATACGTGTAAAGACAGCTAGGTTAAGTAGGCGGTGTAAAGGCGGTGGGCAGGAGACAGTTACAGTCAAAAACCAACAAGGAAGTCGGTGCGAAGGCGGTGAGCAAGAATACTCAGGATGGCTAATCTAGGTAGGCGGTGTGCTGGGCGGTTGGAAGACTGGTATTGTTGTAGACTAATCAGGAACGCTGTGAACCGTCTTACAGGCGTGGTGTGAAAGAGCAGAGGGTGCAGGCAGGGTGTGCAACCTTCAGGGGGCCCCGGCCGGCCGAGTTTGTACTGTACAGTAGATGGCGAGAGAAAGTTGTCTCGAGGACCTTGGTGTTGAAGAACCAAGGTGGGTGCGGGGCATGTGCTAGGCCACATCCTTATCTTATCTATCTACATCAATATCCCTGCTTCCACACTGGTATCACTATTTTTCTCTCTTGTAACTGACTGCTTCTTTACTGTTGTCGGAGTAGGATTAATAATAATTAGGGGCAACCCCCAGGCCAACGGATACGCCGATCTCCATCCTAACAAGGGCTGCCAAAGTGTAGTGGATTGACCGGGTAGGTAGTACTTAGGCGATAAGCAAAACATCAAGAGGATGGCTAAGTGAAGTAGGCGGTGTAAAAGGCGGTGTATAAGGCGGTGGGTAGGAAATAGGTTACAGTACTTGGAGCAAAGAGAGCTTGGAGATGTAGCTAACTTACGTAAGTAGGCGGTGTGCTAGGCGGTGGGTGGAAGACTGGTACTGTCGTAGGCTAATTAGGAAGCGGTGAACTGCCCTTCACTGTCTGACGTATCTTGCGAATTCGGCGGTGTCTTTCGTGCTTGTCCGTGCCATGCCCCACTTTTATTGGGGATTCGCGCTTTGGAAGGTCGTAGGTCTATATTCGTCAGGTGTGACGAATGGCACATTAGTTACTTATGCTCAAGACGAATAGAGCACTTGAAATGATTAGAAGTTGAGAACTAGAAGATTCCAGAATGCTACTGAAAAGGTGCGAAGACACCTCAAACCAAACAAACAAAACATGGGAGGAACACAGTCGTAGGTGTAGGACGAACGTGTCAGACGTGTCTGTCATAGGGCCACAGGTCACAAGAACCAACGGATATTGACAAGATTACCCTTACGTTATCCTTACGAGTCAAATGAATGGAAAGTAAGGTTTTCTGAGCTATGCTCAGAGGGAGATGGGTGTTCAATTCAGTTCGGCTCAATGCAGTTCAGTGCAATTCAGTGCAGTGCAATTCAGTGCAGTTCAATTCAGTTCAATGAGAAGGGAATGCTTGATTAATCCTGTCAACGCGGGATGTGGGAAAGTAACCACTACTTATACGCCCACCCAGGGCAACGCAACGCAACCGTAAGAAGAAAAAGAATGCAGTGACCCTTTGAGCAGGGCATCCCAAAGCCAGGGGTTCCACGAATCCCCGTTTCACTACAACAACTATAAGTTAAAGGAGCCCCCCAGACCCCTCCTGTAGCACGCTATGATAGAAAAAAAAGAGAGAGAAACTGGGAGGAGAGAGAAACTGGGAGGAGAGAGAAACTGTGAGGAGAGAGATCGGCACTAGCTGTCTGTCGAGAACGTCATAATTAGAACACGTCCCGAGTCACAGCCAGCGGCAATCGTAGATCCCGCTATGGCCCGACCTCTCGGCCGACATCCTGGAGGAAGCCACAGCCAATTTTCTGAGTCCCTTGTAATCCATCTCCCGTCCGAGCTTATACCATATTGATAGGGGAGCTTCGCGTCACCTGACCAGGAGGCAAACAACTTCAAAGACATGACATCACGACATCCGCTATGCCCCGCGAGCGTCTGCGTGCATGTGCCCGTCGCCGTATCCCAGATCTTGACGGTGT